CCACTCTTCCGCGTCTCCGCAGCCGCCACCGCCGGGGGGATCCGGGGGTCGCTTACCGGGCTGGCCCCGAGCCACTGCCGTCGCTTCAGCCTCCCTCCAGCGGCTGCCTCAGGAAGAGGCTCGCCGGCCGAGGAGCTGCTTGGGGCCTCAGTACTCACCCTCTTGCCGTCGCCGCGGGTCCTGGAGAAGCGGCCGCGGTCGGGGAACGGGGCTTCGCGGTTCCAACGGTAGGTAAACGGGCGGGTACCCGGATCTGCGCATGCGCGGGTCTCCGTCGTCGCGGCCCTCTCTCCTCTGCCGCCCCCAGCGCCGAGTCCCACCCGCGGCGGCTCCAGGGTGTGCGTTTCGGGGTGCTGGGGGCCGGGAGCAGTGTTCTGCAGGTGGGGCGTTCCTTAGAGAGGGCCCCTTTTCTGCTGGAGAAAGAGCCGTGCCCCTGGCTGCCGGGGGGGTGTGGCAGTCTTCGATTTTCAGCCCTGCATTGCGCGTGAGCGGGCGTATCTCCTCGCCGTCCAACTCCCCCAAAGTAGATGGCACAGCACCCCACGTTTATTTGCTAGCTTCCCCTGCCCACCAGTACTGCGCCACCTCCCCGCCTACTTCCTTCATACTGGGCAGTGAAGTTGATGCAGAAAGAAAAAGGAGCGTGGTTTATTCTCGGCTTCACTGCGCCCCTTTTTGAGGTCACGTGAGATGAGTGGTTGCTGACTTCCTTAAATCGCTCAGAGATTATAGCCAAAATTGGGCTTTTGGTGCATTGGGGCCTTGTGTAGAATGCACTCTGCATAGGCCGGGCCAGGCCAGAGGGGGATGCTATACATCATTAAGTTTCAGATGGGGGGCCTGGTTTCCTAGATAAGGTTATAGGAAATTAAGTCGGTTGGCACACTTGCCCAGTGGGAAACTGTTAAACTCTTTTTGTTTGTAATCAGTTAAAACCAAACTGACTTTTAGAAAGACTGTTGCATTATTTTATTCGGTTCCCCATTGCACCGTCTAATCACTGAAAAAAGTTGGGCGTTTACCTTACTTTCAAGGAGCTGATTATCTAAAAATGGCAACCGGAACCACAATGATGCAGACTATTAAACATTAAATGTAGGGTGCACTCGCTTATAGAGGCAGACATTAAAGGATAGTTTTGAATTATTTGGCTTTGTGCGGCTGGGTTAATGTGAGGCTATGTCTTCAACTCTCCTTTTTGTAACCTTGAAATACTTGTTGGCCTGGGTTTCTCCCAGTGCTGTGCACTTAACTAAGTACAGTACTTGTTGAATAGAATTGAAAGAACTGGTCATTATTTGTATATCCTCCGGTCCTCTTCTTACTTTATTAATCTGTGCTTCTTTTGCAGTTGGGGTAATATTTTCCTCAATTTAATTGTGTTACCAATTAGGCATCTGATGTAGAAGGGCATATTACAGTGGCATAAAATTCTTCATTGGGTGAAGAATACAGCGTCTTTTTTTATTAGAATATCGTTGTTTTAGGACAGAAAATGGCTGAAATGAATATAGTGACTTGTGTTTCCCCACCAATAAAATGCCAATTACTTTTATTATAATTTATAAATAATCTCAGTCTGTCTGTGCATGGCTCCCCAATCGTTGTATACTAATTTTAAAATTGGGGACTGTAATAGTGTAAATTACTGTGTAAATTACTTTTTAAAAAGTTATTTTTTAAAGAATTGTGGTGAAGTGTACATAACAAAATTTACCGTTTTAATCATTACCATTTAAAAAATTTTTATTGTGATAAGATATATATAACATAGACTTTACTGTTTTTAACCTTAAAGTGTACAATTCAGTGGCGTTACATACATACACAATGTTGTGCAATCATACCCATTAGATAATAATTCCCTATTCCCCTTTTCTCCCAGCCCCTGGTAAACTCTATTCTACTTTTTGTCTCTATGAATTTGCCTAGTGTAGCTACCTCATACCGGTGGAATCATACAGCATTTATCATTTTGTGTCTGGCTTATCACTTAGCATAATATTTTCAAGGTTCATCCCTATTTTAGTGAGTATCAGAAGTTCTTTCCTTTTTTGGCCGGCCCGGTGGCGCACTGCTATAGTGCGCCGCTTGGGAAGCGCGGTGGCGCTCCCGCCGAGGGTTCGGATCCCACATACAGCACGGCCGCTCACTGGCTGAGCGAGGGGCGGGAGCAACACCGAGGGTTGCGATCCCGTGGCTGTGGCCGGTCCCGGTCCGGTGCGGGCGCGACACTGAGGGTTGCGATCCGATGCCGGTCATGAGAAAAGACAAAAAGGGGAAGAAAAAAAAAAAGAAGTTCTTTCCTTTTTTGGCCGGCCGGGGGGCGCACTGCTATAGTGCGCCGCACTGCTATAGTGCGCCGCTTGGGAAGCGCGGTGGCGCTCCCGCCGAGGGTTCGGATCCCACATACAGCACGGCCGCTCACTGGCTGAGCGAGGGGCGGGAGCAACACCGAGGGTTGCGATCCCGTGGCCGTGGCCGGTCCCGGTCCGGTGCGGGCGCGACACTGAGGGTTGCGATCCGATGCCGGTCGTGAAAAAAGACAAAAAGGGGAAGAAAAAAAAAAAGAAGTTCTTTCCTTTTTAAGCCTACATTTTGTTTATCTGTTTTTCTATTGATGGACATTTGGGTTGTTTCCACCTTTTGATTATTGGAAATAATGCTACTGTGAGCATGGGTGTACACACATCTTTTTAAGTCCCTGCTTTCAGTTCTTTTGGGTGTATACCCAGAAGTGGAATTGCTGGATCGTATGGCAATTTTATGTTGAATTTTTTGAGGAACCGAGACACCATTTTTCACAGCAGCAGTGCCGTTTTACATTTCCACCAGCAGTGTGGTGAGGGTTCTGATTTCTCCACATCCTGCTCACAGTTGTTACTTTTTTGTTTTTGTTTGGTTTAACAGTAGCCATTCTAATGGGTGTGAACTAATATCTCATTGTGTTTTTTTTTTTCCTTTTTGTCTTTTTTCGTGTCCGGCAACGGATCACAACCCTCAGTGTCGTGCCTGTACCGGACCGGGACTGGCAACGGGATCGCAACCCTTGGTGCTGCGCCCGCACCTCGCTCGGCCAGTGAGCGGGAACCGGTCTGTATGTGGGATCCGAACCCTCGGCGGGAGCGCCGCCGCGCTCCCAAGCGGTGCACTGTAGCAGTGCGCGACCAGGCCGGCCCTCTCATTGTGTTTTTGATTTGCATTTCCCTAAAGGCAAGTGACGGGCAAATTTTCATGTGCTTATTGACCATTTATATATTTTCTTTGAAGAAATGTCTATTCAAGTCCTTTACCCATTTTTGGTAAAGGTTGTTTGTTTCATTGTTGTTGAGTTGTATGTGTAGCTTTTCTTTTTAAAGTTAATTTCTACATGAATTAAATCTTTTCTCCTAATGTTTCTGAAAATGAATGAAATACTGAAAATTTTTTATAGAAATAGAAAATTTCTGTTTTACAGATGGATAAACATTGAAGAGCCTCATTTATATCTGAAAAGGATTTTCGTTTATTTTGTAGGTCTATATTTAGGTTTCAACTAGACATAATGTTAGTATCAAGAACTCATTTCTTTCACATCAGTATTACAGAGGTGCACCCATTAAATGAAGACCCTATTTTCATCAATGAATAATGCTTCTGAAAGAACTTTGCTTTGTTTATAATGTGTTTTGTAACATGGCTGGGAGCAGGAGGGGGTTAATTGAAGGAGAAAAAAGGAAGTATGGTATGTACATATGAACTTGACCACAGTCAGTGTTCTACAAGGCAAGGAAGGGTGGGGCTTCCCCAAGTGAGGCAGTTGGTCAATATGTGAGTAGCTGATTTGAACTAGAAATGGAAATAATGAAGGATATTTGGAATGGAATGGAATAAAGGCTGTTTTACTGTACCAACTAATTTCATGTGGTACACTACATAGATATTAGTTGTAATGGGATTACAAGAGTAACTCATTATCAGATTGATTTATTCATTCATCAGAAATTTATTTAGCTCCTAAGTGCCAGAGGTACATTGAGGAGCAACATGCAAGTGGTCATGTGATGGTTGTAGTACTCTGTAAACTTAGTAGAAATCATTGTACAGTTGAAACTAGTAAATTTTTTTTTTTTTTGTCTTTTGTCTTTTTCCGTGTCCGGCAACGGATCGCAACCCTCGGCGTTGCCCCCACGCCTCGCTCAGCCAGTGAGCGGGAACCGGTCTGTATGTGGGATCCGAACCCTCGGGCAGGAGCGCCGCCGCGCTTCCCAAGCGGCGCACTATGCAGTGCGCCACCGGGCCGGCCCCTAAACTAGTAAATTTTATAGTACATAAATTATAACTTAGTAAAACTGTTTTAAAAAACAAGCCATCATTGAGTTTCAAGGAGCTTATACTCTGTTGGTAGAAACAGGTTTTAAAGAAACACAGAAATGAATATATAATAAAACTTGTGATGAATATTTTGGAGCCAAGGAATAATATAGCCTGAGAAAAACTAATAGGGGAGACCGTTAGATTGAGTAGGTTGGAGAAAGCCCCTCCAAGGATGAGACTTGAGTGAGAGCTGATGATGGGAAGGAGGAAGCATGGGAGAGGGTTTCAGGTAGACGAACCAGCATGTATAAAAGCCTTAGGTTGAGGAAAATGTGGTGAGCTGACATAATAATTTAATGACATTTACTGGATTTCTACTAGAGAAGGAAATATCACAAGTCTTTTATGTCAGGTTGTTACTTAGCTTCTAGTGTATGTATTTTTCCTTGTATGCATAATGTATAAAGATTCTCTTTTTTGGCAGGGGGGCGGCTTGCCTGTAAGGATCCAAATCCGTGATCTTGGGGTTATAAGGCTGCTCTCTAACCAACTGAGCTAATTGGCCAGCCCGTAAGATTCTTAGCTCTTTGGTTTTTTTTTTTTTTTTTTTCCCCTTTTTGTCTTTTTTACTGACCGGTAACGGGATCGCAACACTCGGTGTTGTGCCCGCACCGCGCTCAGCCAGTGAGCGGGAACCGGTCTTCACATGGGATCCGAACCCTCGGCTCCCGCCGTCGTGCTCCCAAGCGGCGCACTCTCCAGTGCACCACCGGACGGCACAGCTCTTTGGTTTTAAACAATTTTCAGAGAGATGTCTGTCAAGTGTCTATTATTGCTGTTTTCGGGAATAGAATAGAAAAAGTTCAGTTTACCTATTCTTTACAATATTTCTCTACTTTTGCTTTTGTGTGTCAAGCTGCTGCTCTTTACA